TGGGTGATCTTAGTCAGTTTGATTGAATGGGTCACATGTAAAGTTGTCATTCAAGGCAAGCGTCTTTTGATTAAACAATGTCTAAGAGATGTATATCAAGGTTGGTGGGCCTAAAACATATCCTACCTTCTTTTTCTCCATTTAATACTTAGTTTTAATATACAGTGGAATTGAAAATGTTAATAGAACCGTTTTATGGGTTGTATTACTATTATTTCTACTGTGGAAGCATTTAATAGCTCCACAAACATGTACTACTTACAGTACAAACACAGAGTCATATGTTTTCAAAGGCTTGCTTTTGCAAAATACTAAAATATGGGCAAATGTGACCTTTAAAGGATCCCTTTACAATACATTATGATGAATTTTTATTCACAAATTAGATGAACAGACTTATTTTGGTTTTAATTTGGTATTAATCTTGACTTTTAAAAAGTTTACATTAAAAGAAGCATACTGAAGCAGAGAGAAAAAACAAATGAAACCAGATGCTAACAACCACATGAGCAGTTGTATGTATACGTGGAACATATTTTTATTTTAAGTTTTTAAGAAAAGAGTTAAGAGCCCATTTAAAATCCTCCAGCTGTTAGATAGCAAGGTATGAAATCTGTTCCATGATATGTTTTAGAATGATCTGCTGCAGTTAAACAACTAGAATATGTTTTCCCCTCATCAAAATAAAATTTGCAGGCTTACGTTTAAACACAATAGGAAGAACTAACATTTAGAATCCTTTCTTTAAATGGTTCATTATTCTGCTCCTCAGCTCCTTCACTTGAGCAGAAGTTCCCATCACATACCTTTCAGCCACTTAGGAGAAATGTTAAAGTAAAGAGTAGTAAATAGATGAGTGTTTGGAAAGTGTTTTAAAGATGGAAAGCATGATACACATGTTAAATGTTGCATATAAGTGGGAGAACCCACCATTAACATTTTTCAGGTTTTTGAAAATTTATGTGTCCTTAGCGAGGAATGAGGGAGCTCATTGAATGTTGAGATTCCTTATGTAAAATATCACCTGTACATTTTCATAGCCCATATTTTACATGCTTGGCTTAAAGCATTGCAAGAACTAACAAAAATAATACATAGCAGGAGGGACTGGGTAGCACTGAATGAAGAAATTAATTTCTCAAAAGATAATCAGTACTGTTGGAATAAGTACTTTCATATACAAAAAATAGTACATCTGGAAGTTCTCTAAGGAAATACCTACATTGGGTTAAAACAGTTATCACACAAAGTAAGGCAGGCTCAATAGTAATTTTAGTTTTCCCCTTAAATATAAATATCTCCTATATTAGCTTGTATTTTTTCCTGATTCCTCTTCCCATATAATATGTGGTATACAGTAAGAATTTCAAATGGATTTTTAATAGAATATACTACCACTTGTAGGTAACTTAAGTGGCTCACATTGCCAGCTGAAAATCTACTTTTTCTAGACAGGATCTAACGGCAAAAAATAGCCAATAATAGTTTATTCAACAGTTGACAAATGGATCAAATAATTTGACCACCTATAAAACGCATTCACTTTAAAAACTATAGAAGATTATTCAGTCATCTACAGCTCTGCTTGAGTAATTCAATAAATTATTTATGAATAATTTAGTTAAGAATACCACATCCAGATAAATAAATCACAAGAAACAGAATGGCAGTAACTCTTTCCCATTTTTACCAGACAGAATAATTATTAAGTACTTGGTTTAGTTAAACGCAAGTTATATATATAAGATTAGCACTTATTTTAAAAGGAAATTAAATTTTCAGTTACATAGCAAGGCTTGGTGAAATTGCATTGAAGTAAATGGCAACACACTCACTGAGATCAAAGGCCCAGAATTTCACCCTTGGAGGCAATTTAAAGTTGCCTTTACATTGTACCTCATATTTTTTTACTCATCTGCATATGGGGTCAAAAATAGTTATTCATGTTTCTATAGGAGAAAGTTGAGTGATGTACTGCTCAGGAAAAATATTTTCTCTTGTGATGTCATAAATAACAATAGTATTCAGCAGTAAACACCTGTATGGGAACATTAAAAAAGGACTGTAAAGTGTATCCACAAGAAAAACAAGGAAGAGTTTAGCTGAGCAAGAATAGAGGTATTTCAACAATAATTAGATCTATTGCATTTCATATTTTTGTTAAGAGCTCCATGACACTCTCTTCAGAGAACACTTTTTTAATAAGGCATGTTTTACTTCTGCCAGCTAATCTGACTATCTTTAATACTATATTGATAGGGATGTGTATTTTGTTAAATGCGTATTACATTGTTGGAAACCTTAAAAAAAAAAAAAGGGAGGGTATTGTTCCCAGCACTCAGAACTTTTATGAGTAGAAGGCCCAAATAGTTGGTTTTCTCAAAGGTTGTATGAGAGACAATGAAGTTTATTAAAAACAGCTGTTGATTTAAACACTGCCCTGTAGTTTGCAGTCTGTTATGTATTTATATTGTGCAAGTACATAAACCATTGTTATACTTTTTTAAAATAAATTTAGTTGTGTTTTAATGTGTTAGTGACAAAGGAATTTAAAAAATAAATCTAAGCGAATATAATTAGTAAACTGTTAAAACAATAGGTTTACAATGAAGAGCTCAAATCTAACATTTTAAGGGGCAATATAGAGCGGCAATTTACTGTTCTGGAACAAAAAGCATGTTGAATGTAAGAACAAATCTGAAAGTAACCAAGCACTGTTCTGGATTGTTAACTTTCAGGTCCTCAAACAGATTCTCTCTCAAATAAAGAGATGAGATATAGAAAGAAAAGTTAGGCCTTGTTTGCACAAGTTACACAGGTATAAGGCAAGGTGTGCTGTAGCTCACGAAAGCTCATGCTCAAATAAATTGGTTAGTCTCTAAGGTGCCACAAGTACTCCTTTTCTTTTTGCTATATCTACTGGTAGAACTCCCTGTGCAGGCATTTATTCCAATATGCAGTGGCCTTTTTCTGGCTTAGCTTACATTGTTTTGGAAGCAGTTTATGTTTAACCAGTGGAGATATGTCTGCAGGTTCTGCATCTGTTGTGCTGGCAGGCTCTTGTGTTGCTTTGAGTTGGTGTCCCCCGGTTAGTGGGGAGCTGGCTTCTGATAAGCTTGGAGAGGGTTGGGGGGTTGTTTGAATGCTAGAAGAGGGGTTTTAAGGAAGATTTCTTTCAGGGTCCCCACCGAGTATGGGTTGTAGTTGTTTGATGATACCCCATGTGGGGTCCCGTGTGGGATAGTAGGGGACACCTAGGGGTGTGCGATCAGAGGGGGTTTTATTTCTGTATTGAAGCAGGTTCTCTCGGGGTAATTGGCTGGCCCATTCCATGATGTGTTCTACCTCTCTGGTGTAGCGTCTTTGTTTGGTGAAGGCGGTTTTGAGTGTGTTAAGGGGTATAGCCTGGGCTTTCTCCTCAGAGCATATTTTATGGTATCTGATTGCCTGGCTGTACATAACAGATTTCTTGGGATGTTGGGGTAGTTATTGGATTTATGAAGCTAGGTGTGGTGATCCTTGGGTTTCTTGTATATAGCTGTTTGCTGTTTTTCTCAGACCGCAGTGGTGGTGAGTGGAACATGCACACATACAGTGTGTGCTTGCAAAATTAGTAATTAAATCCTGAATTAGTAATTTCACGTAAAAATCAGGATTATGGAATCTCTGCTCCTCCTGTCACACACCAACCTCTATTGAGAATCAATGTCACACATCAAACATTCCAGACAACTTGCTCAAATTAGGCAGAAAGTGAGGATTCCAGAAAGAGAAGCCAATTCACAATCAATGTAACATGAACAATTACCTCCTTGAAAAATGGAAAAACACGTGTGGGGAGAAAATAAACCTCAAAAAGGTGATCTCTACATTCTGAGGAGAGGCAGGCAGGCAAGTGAGATCCTGCAAGATATCTGCAGAGAGGCAGAATGATAAGGCAAGTTATTTTACAGTTCTCTAAAGAGACCATCTGGGCAGGATTTTCTCTCCCAGAGAGCAAGCAGATCAAAATATATCCCCACACCTCCATGAGTAAAGCATGTGTCAGTGCCAAAAGTGAAGTGTTTTGTCTGTCGTTTATATATAAAATATAATACAATATAATGAAGAGGAGTAAGATGCATATTGTAAGCTCTTAGGAACGGGCACCATCTTTTTGTTATGTATTTGAACAGTGCCCAGCACAATGGGGACCTGATCCATGTTGCTACTGCACTACAAATAATAATCAATCAACTTACAATTTCAGGCTGAAAAACACAATATTCAAGCCTGCACAAAGACCCATGCAAGTATGGGATATCCCAATATAAAATACATCCCTCTTCTAGAGATGGGAGTTTTGAGGGGCTTATAATCACATTTTCTATTTTTACGTTTTTCTCTTCCCTGCTGCTGCATGAAAGAACAAAAGAGAAAATTGTCTGTACAAGGAAATATGTAAACTATGTTGAAATTAAACAATCTGACACAAATACAGACACTCTCTTTCAGTTATATGTCTTAGGTAAAGAACTTTTTTGACAGAGTATGATTATTAAATTCAGCAATGAGTTTCTGTGCTGCTTCTTCAAGAGGCATAGCACAGAACTCCTAGCCCAGAGGGAGGTGGGGCTAATGTAGTTTTAAGCCATCTGTGTTCTCTCAATCCTGAACCGACACAATCCCTGGAGGCCTGTCTAGGTTATGGCAGCCTCCTAGGCTTTTCTATGTGTTGAAGTGCTGCCTGGACCTGGAATCTCCACAGTGTTATGTTCTGTGTCCCTGCTCCGGATACTTCCCTCTTGTCTGCAGCCACGCCCCCATGACACTCTCACCTCAAACGCTTAAGTCATATGGCCAAATACTGTAATGCTTATGTTCCAATCCACAGAAAGAAGTCCTCTTATAGGCTCATCTTACATATGATGGAATTTGGAGGAAAGATAACTCCTTCAACTAGGCTTTTGGGGCTGTATGTGAAGGAATGGCTTATATAAATTATATTCTTCAAACACACATTTCCAGTGACAGATTAATTCTGAGGTTTTATTCTTTTCCAACAAAGTATGCAAAGCATCAATATCAACATCTGAGATTTTTTTTTTTTAAATGTTAACACCTAATACAATTCCAATTTAAAGGATTACTTGCACAAAAAAATAAACACATTTGGTATAAAAAATTTATCACTTTAACACCCTTTTTCTTATGATCTGCACCCTGTTTGGTGCAGAGACATATAAAGACTAATGGCACAAATTTGTTTTTACTCTACAGGAGTTTGTTTCTTATGTACCCAAGTACTCTAGAGGACACCAGCCCGCTTTATACAAGAACCATTTTCTTCAGCCTGCTGAATTTAGTTTCACAAAGAAACAAAGCTATAAAGGCATTTTAAAAACAACTGCCTTATATTCTTTTTAGATACACTGACTTTTTGCTCCATTTATATACATACTGTTATATAACAGCTCTTGAGTACAGTACATGCAGCAGAATATGCCTGTTCAATATAAAACATACTTAAAATCTTCTCTTGTTAGAATTCTTTGAAGACTGAATTATTGTAGAATGCCCACTGCTCTGAGAAAATGGTTTGAGAGTACAAATGTCTGCATATGTTGGCCACTGGAACAATCCAAGGCTAACTGGAGTAATATTTATAGCACATCAGTAGTGCATAAATAATTTACTTACAATATTAAAACACAACTAGCAAAACTAATAGTTCAAGATCTTATGATTGCTATATTAATCCTTCTTTAAGTGGTTGCAAAATGTGATTTGTTAAAGTCCTCTATAAAATCTTTAGGATGTCATTTGTTTTCCAAATGAAGAAACTTATTTATGTCTACTGCCTCTTCTCTTCATTGCAGCAGTACACTGTGGACAGTACCATTTCCCTTTTGGTGCCTCTGTCAATCCAACACAGCCATAATGGAACCACTCTATTGGGCACTATAAAACAAATAGACAGAGAAACTTTTATTGCACCTGTGGCAAGAAATGGATATTTATGAAAATGAAGTCTGCAAAATGACATCCTGTCCTCATAACAAAGTCACTAGTGACAATAAGAAGGGCAAAAACAAGAGAGGTGAATGAAAAAACTTCACTTCCTAATGTGCACTTCCAATAATAAATACAAAAGATGACAGAAAATTTGAACCACCACACCTGGACCCATGCACCTAGAAAAAGGTAAAAATTTAAACCATGCTTAGAAAGTGCATTTTAAACAATCAAGCTACATGTTAAAGCATGGTTGAAATCATATGATTTATCACCTTTTATAAAGGTCTGGGGAGTAAATGAGCTATCTTCGTTTTTTTTAAAAAAAAAGTTGAACTGGAATAGCTTACATGACATCAATAAGTAAAACAGCACTACGCTAGAACGATATAAGGGGAGTTGTTTAAATATGCAGAATCTGACAACTCCTAAGAGAAACTAATACAAAAACACAGTTAAAAAGGAGTACACAGTGACTGCACTGGCATACACATTTACTCACATTATACATTTAAAAAAACAAGCACACTGAATTTCTACTTATGTCTGAGGCTATGTCCATGTGGCCGTGCAGTTAACTATTGGGGTGTAAACTAGCATGCTGTGCTGTAACTCCACCATGTGGATGGTAGAGGTGAGAAGCACAAGATATCTAGTTTGCATTAATATAGTCCTCTTTAAACAGCGCTACATTAACACAAACTAGGTACCTCTTACTTCATGCCTGTGGCATCCACATAGGGGAGTTACAGTACAGTATGCTAGCACGGGCTGCAGTTCACAATCCTGAAGTCCAAACTGTGGGCCATGCAGACTACCCTTTACATTGCGATCAAACATATCATTCACACTGCTTTTATATTACCTGTGAATTTGCACTATTACCTGCCCCAATTTCTACTGTGCTAATCTCTTGATTTTGCTTTATTTATTCTTGAACCTCTGAGCTCTCTGGCATAGTTGTGTAATGACACACATGAAATACAAGTGGTAGCAACAGTGAGGTAGCCAAGTGTGTAATCTCTCCATTCCCTCTTAGCAATTATTCTCTCCATGATTGCCCATTTTCTCTCTCTCTCACACACACACACACCTGCTTACCAAATGTCTACAGGACCAAGACACAAACCATGGAGAACATGAGCCAGATAGAATGCAGACTAGAACTTGCATTCTGGTCACTGGCTGCTACAAGTTCTATCACAAGTCCCTTTCAAGAAGTTTTGCTGGTTCTTACTGTCCCTCACCCAATTTTTTTCTTTTCCAAAACAGATTCTTGAAAAATTACTGAGAGTTTTATCAGTTTTCATTTTAAACTGAAAACTGGAATATACAAGTCATTTTAGCCAGAGGAAAAAACTAATAAAAACTACTTTTAGTGCATGTGCACAATAGTAAACAAAACAAATTCTCATCCCCCAAGTCTTTAGCATTTTGCTACTTACATCTTGGTTATCACAGCCCACCATTTCGCCATAGGACACCTAGTTCAAGGATAAAATTCAAGCTATTAATATAGTAAATAATCAGCATCTTCAATTACTGAATAATTCTATGGCAGTTTTCCTATATAAGCTCTGAAATAAACAGGATACTGACAACCTATATGTTGCAATGACATTTATTTTCAACACTAGATTATTTAAAAGAGAAATAAATATTGAAGTCCAATTTGCTTGTCTTTATGCAGAAAGACAGTGAAGTTCATGCAGGTCTCAAGTTGGACATGAAGGGCCAGCACTCAGTGCTGAGCGCTTCTAACATCTGCCTGAAACCTCAATAACATCCATTCCACATTTGTTTATGATCAGTTTCCACCTTCAGATTCAAGAATTTCCAACAGTATCAAATGGCACACTTGTATAAAAAAAACAAACAAAAACAACCAAATGTTTTCATTGGAATTTATAACATTTTAGACGCATAACTATTAATCTTCGGTTGTATAAAAACTCGCTTCTCTGAAATACAGATATGCTTGGACCATAGTCCCAGTTCTACCTCCACAACCTTCCCTCTTATTTTAAGTAAGAATGGACTTCGCAATCTCATAGAAATCATCCAAAAACCTGAAAACAAAACTGATCAAATACGAGGGAAATTTACCTGCAAAAATTGCTTAATGTTCCAAACTAGTAAACATAGTGTATTTAAACAAATTCAGCATGTAAAATTAAGTCCTTCCTATAAAAAAGGGGCATGTGTGTAAAAAGGCAGCTTGACCAAGTTTTTGATGTTTCCATTAGTAAAGCATCTAGAGAGCTTCACACGAGAACAGTCACAAAACAATATTTATAAGCAATAAATACTAGTGATTCAACTCCATTATTCATGTCACTAATGAGTGTATATTGACAGTTAAGAATTCCAGGGCTAGAATACTGTTTCAGAAGCTTAAAAGAAAAATACCCAAAAAGCTACCTATCCACAATATCTTCAAACCCCATCAAAGCAGATGTCTACACTGCCCATGGGGATGACTAAAAAATTGAAAAAAAGGGACAGGTTTTAAAATTTTGTCCTTGTATGGTTGAATATATCTGCCATCTCAAAATACTACATGGCCATTACTAACTACCTACTGTCATTGTGATTTAGTTTATACTTTTTTTTCCTGACAACCTGAAGCAGGGGTAAACTGATATTGGCTATTCCAAATAAGCAGTGTACCTACATATACATATACTCAGTTGCACTTTCGTTTTGTTTTAATTATAGTACACAGTATGATTTTGAGCAAGATACAACAAATATGTATTCATTGTACTTTTAAAACAACAACCAAGCACACAAAGTGATACAAAGATCTGAACTGAGATCCATCAATTAACTGAAACTATACAAGTTTCACACTTTACAAACTAACGCTTATGGGTTGAAAGGCTGAATTATAATGAAGCAGCACATCTGTTGAGGTGCTGCTGAGTTTGAAACTCCTACATACAGAGCACTTACCTGATTACAAATGCAGTAACGTGGCTCATTTGGATCATAGGTCCAATCAACTTGGTTGTTAGAATCAGACTCTGGTATTGCTGCTGTTTGCTGAGATAGTTCTTGTGCTAAAGCAGACGATGAAGAACATGACGACAGAGATGAAGATGACGACGAAGATGAGGACTGCTGGCTTGAAGACTTATTGTTGTTTCTGAAAAATGAATAAATATACTAAATACTTTCTGAAGTAAGACCTGTTCACTCTACTGCCAACTCAATGAAATATGAGGAAACAAGGCTCAGGAAAGTGCTGGAACGAATCTTTGATGAGGTGCCCAAATGCTATAGTAATCAAGTGTCATTCTCGAACAGATTGTATTCAGCAACTAGTGTGAATTCAGATGGATATGTTGCTTCTCTTTGCCAGACAATAAGAGCGACTTTGTATTCTGGTATCCTTACAAGATGGGGGCCTATTATTCCAATTGATGGAATTTAATATGTTAAAGCTGCCAAATACAACTGACTCATACTTCATAATCACTGCACCGATGGCCTTCATAGGTCAATGTAAACAATACACGTTGTTAATACACAAGTAACCAATGAAATAAATGGGAATTTGTATATAAATTAATCTATATTGCACATGTAATCTTTAACAAAGAGCTGATTTTTGAATAGTCATCTTTACATCCATTCCCCGAAATAAAACCAACAATCTACAACAAGCAGAAAAGTGTAAGCTCTTTGAAGATAAGAAAACTGTTACTTAGACTGAGAATTGTAAACTGAGCAGTACTTGTGTGCTAACTCATTCCAAGGCACATCACAAAAAGAGAATTGCAATGTCAAAAGATAACAAATTTAGCAGAGAGCATGTTTAGGTACAAGTTAACAAACAGCCTGAACTACCAAGATCTCATTTTAACTCACCGATGATCTGAGACCCCTGGTTCAATTCCCCCAGCTGCCTGATGAGGAGAAGGGATTTGAACATGGGTTTCCCACCTCTCAGGTGAGTGCCCTAACCACTGGACTGCAGAATCACTCTCACTCTCAACCTGTCCAAATACTTATTTAAATATTTATAAACAGTGGAACAGCTTCAACAGGAGAGACTAAGCACGTCCCATAATCCAGTGATTAGGGTACTCACTGGCCAGATAGCAAACATGTTCAAATCCATTCTCATCAAGCAGAGGGAGGAACTGAACTGGGGTCTCCTAAATCTCAGGTGAATAACCAAACCATTGGGATAAATATTATAAAAGGGAAGTGCTGCTCCTTCTGCCCCCCACATCCCCTGGTTGTTTTATGGGGCATTAGGTGTGCTTTAAGAATGCTCCACCGGTGAGACATGCCTATCTTCACCTGATTTAAGGATAGCACTGGGGCTTAGGCATTATACAGGTGCCTGGACACCTAAACTGATGCACTGTGCACATGCCCAGTGGCAGAAAGTAGGCAGTTGAGAACTTCTACAGTGAAAAGTTTAGACATCTTAGGCATCTCTAGTGCTAAGCAGCAGCTGAACAGGGATTTTGTCAGATGTGCCAAAATTTAGGCATTTAAGTCCTTTCTGGATCTGGGCCCTACATTTTAGTATTCTTCCCCCCCATTATCTAAACTAGGGGTCTCAAACACGTGGCCCGCAGAGCTTTATGCTGCGGCCCACCAAGCTCCCTGGCCCTCCCTCCCCCAGTTATTTCCTGTGGCCACCAAGCTCCCCTCCCCTGCTGCCCCCCCCAGCGCGCTCCTGCTCCTCTACCTCGTGCATCCCTGTTCCTCTACCTACCTCCAGGCGCTTCCCGCCGCCAAACAGCTGTTTGGCAGCACTTAGTTTCCAGGAGGGAGGGGGGAGGAGCAGGGAGCTGCATGCTCAGGGGAGGAGCTGGAGAAGAGGCGGGACAGTAGCAGGGATTTGGGGAAGGGGTTGGAATAGAGGTGGAGAGGGGGCAGAGTTGGGGTGGGGACTTTGGGGAAGGGGCTGGAATGGGGGCGGGGAAGGAGTGGGAAGAGGCGGGGCCTCATGGACAGGGTGGAGTGGGGCCAGGGGCAGCAGGGGGAAGTGTCAGTGATGCGGCCCTCGGGCCAATGTATTAGATTTCATGCGGCCCTCCTGGTAATTTGAGCTTGGGATCCCTGATATAAACTGACAGACAACATGCTAAACATAGCTGAACAAAATAGAACATACTTGCTTTTTCGACCACTCCGTGAATCTGTGGTTGATGAACTTAATGTTTGTGTTAATGTAGATGCCAGAGCCGATGATGAATATCCAGTTGAGTCTCTGGATAATGAAAATTCTCTCCCTAGTTGAAAGTCATTGTTCTTAAAGGCTTCATAGCTGGCTTTTAAGCTGGATGTTCTTCTTCCTTCCTTCATCTAAAGGAAACACTGATATCAGAATAAAGTATACTATACATTTCCTATAGAAATCATCATGCTATGAACTACTAGCTGTGCAAATATTTTTATTTAAAATTGTAGCTACTATCCAGTTTACATTATGGTAGAAGCAGCCTAATGAAAAAAAGCCCACACCAAACCCCGCTTTCCTGCAAGTCTTATGTCATGAAACCACAACATAAAGGGAAGCACAACATTATGAGAAGTCAACTGAAAAAGTGATCATGAGAATTCAAATTATAAAAAAGCATAAGCCTTTCTCCATAACCAACATTGAATGGCAACTTTCTTAAGATATTTTATGGGGAGGGGTTACCTGTGCTGTGGCTTGCACTGCTTGAGCTGCTGCCATGGTAATAGCACCAGCTCCAGATCCTGAAGATAATGAGCCCAGGTTATAGGATGCCAGTGGCTGAGAAGAGTTTGCATTGTATGCATTGTTGGAAGAGGATGATGAATTACTGTTTCGACACCCTGGATGAACAAAACACATTTATGAAATTTAAAGTGAAACTAAAAATAGCTTTACATTTAGTAAGCAGAAAAAGTTACAAACAACAATCAAAGATTAGAAACGTCTCTTAATTTATAACAATGCTATAGGAAGGGCTGGTCACGACACATTGCTTATTACTGCCACGCATAACAGCCAGTTTGATTTACCATCTTTGTTTGCCCCCTCATTGCATATCAAGACAATGTGGTCTTGTGGAAGGGATTGTGCCTCATGTCAATCCTCACTAATCTCTCCAGTTAAGAAGCAGCGGCTGCTCTTTAATCTGAGTCCAGTGCAGTCTTTTGGTTGTAATTTTGATGGCTACAATGCACATCCTCAAAAAAGTGCAATTTAATACTACTGTGACAACCATTTCTTAACAGCAAAATAAATCATATATCCAAGAAGATAAGGACTAGAACTTTAACACAATACCTGATTGCAGTTGTGAATTAATCGCTTTGTAAAGAAAGTGCAGTTTCCTAATATTTAGCTAGCATACACTTTACCTAAAGTAGCAGGGCATTTAAAAAAAAAGTAATAAATGACCATGAATAGTGGACTATTAAAAATAGCAAAGCACTAAATACTCAAGTTACCAAAGAGTCAGAGACACCACAAACCTCACTTACAAGTAAGTAAAAGTAGTCCATATTTACAAATCAGCCTCTTTCCCTTGAAATAATGTCACCAAGACCACAGTTTCCCTACAGCCCATCAGCAGGCTTGATAAGTGTTATTCACAAAACCAGGCTCAGTTTACAAGACAACAGAGCTCAAATTAAAGGAGATAAAAGGAGACGCAGCAATGAAATTGATCTGATGTTTTGCATACGACTCAAAACAGTTCAGTTAGAGCTTAATTTGATTACTGTGCTGACTTCTCCACCCCAAGGAAAAAGGGACTGTGAATGCATGCATCTCGAAAATGAACAGAAATTCAGAAAAATTTTGAAGTTACAGTATACAGGTAGCTTCCTTTCCTCTACATTAAAATATCTGACAATCCAACAAAAGGATTCTTTCTTCACTGCTGCTAAATAGCAGGTCTGACCTGCTTCCTAACAGCTGTGGTCCAACCTCCTCCCCACCACTTTGAAAGTAAAAATAGTAAAATAATTTTTTCCTCAAAGTGAGAAAAATTTAATTTTTGTGAATACACAATTATAATTTGAAATTTTTACTGTCCCTCCTCCAAGAGGTACAATAAAATAGAATTTGGCATTTAGATTACCTGGTGTATTTTCTTTAGAGGCATCTGAAGTGAGGGTAGACAAAAGAGCTTCAGATTTGAACTTCTTTTCAGGAACATGATCTGTTGTACTATGGTGAGAAGATGGATTATGCTTTCTTTCTGTATGAAAAAAACAAACGTAATGTTTACTAGATTTTAAAGTGAATGTAGTACTCAAGAAAGCGAAGAATTCAATAGCCTTTACCATAACCTGGAAAGAATAAACAGGTACTATAACCATACAGCTCTATTAACTGACTTCAGTCCCAACAGAAAAACCCTGACATTTCATTCTTGGGCCTCCCTTGAACAAATACTAACAACACTAAGTTGTGCCAAATGCTGGTGGGGTTTTTGAAATGTAGGCAAACAAGGGTTATGAGGAGAACTCAGGAAATACCTAATTCTGAATAAAATGTTATACATTTGAAATATTTCACCAACACATGTAGTAAAACTGAAGATGAAATGTTCAATTCCAGAAACTTACTCTCTACTGGAGTGTGCGAATGGGCATGATGGTTATTCACTGGCTGTGATGGTGTATCCAGTTCCAGAGAACCTAATATACAATTACAAAAGCAGGACAATTTAAATGCCAACCTCGAAACAATGCAGTGTAGTTAACTTTAATCTTTCAAGTCATCTTCACTTTTAGATACAAAATCCATCTTTAAGATCTGTACAATACAAAGAATAAATCCACAAAAACAGTTGTACTCGTTTTAGCCAGGAATCCTAGAGAAGGAGTTGGACTTCAAAGCACTGTCTATGCAGCTATTTTTAGAGCACCAGAGCAAGCCCCACCAGCACAAGTCTGTTGATCCAAACTGGGAGGCGTTTCCACTCGCTCCAAAACGCTGAATAGACAACCCTCAATGTATCCTCAGTGTTAAGTGAAGCTGAGACACCAAGGGACTGATCCAAGCCCATTGAAACCAAAGGGAACCTTTCCACTAACTACAATGAGTTTCAGATCAGGCCTCAGAAGTTGGAAGACTCAGATATACCATTTTACTATGCTTTACTTACTGGTTTGCTCTGAGATAGTTTTATGCTCGATCATGGATTTTTTATTTGTGGTAGATTTTTTACAAAAAGATAGGACCTTAGAAACAACATTTTTCACCGTGTGTCCAAGAGGTCTCAATCCATTAAAAACCACTCAAAACTCAAAATCTCTACTGAACTGGATAAGCACTAGGACACAACTGCATTTTTAAGGCAAACCTTCAGCTATTATCTGCTTTTGGCTAGAAAAGAAAGACAGATCCAAAAAAGGAAGAATTTCCAAGTTCAGGGAATTACTAAAGGATGCAGAACCTATATTTAAGAGTCAAAGTTTCTTGTAGCACTAGACTTCAAGGAGGCCAATGGATCAAGCGACAGGGGAGGCTTTAATGACAAAGCAATTGTTAAGACAATATACAAAATAAAAAACATTTGTGTTCAAATTTATTCAACATTATTTTGGATGGGCTGAAACCTATTCATCCTATCAATGTTAATTATGACTTTAACTTTATCTTATTTAGTTTATCTAATTACAGGACAACAGATTAGATTGTGAAAAGTTTTCTAAATAATCCAAGAAAAGAATTATAGTTCAATAATTACTCTACCACTTCCACCACTTTTTTTTTTTTTTTAAATGTAGATACTTGGGAATGAACACAGAAGTGCTCAGATGACTGAGACAAGAATTCATTTTAACAGGACGGGACTAAGCATCAAGGTTACATTTTGAGGATATTCTTGGTGTTCTAGCATTACTCATGTTATGGACTAGCTCAGTGCCTGCCCTCTTGTGAACACTCAATTATACATATTTATTCTTTGGTCACTAAAATACTAGAACCTTTGACATTTCCTTTTTGAAAACTTGGTAAAAAAGTTGAGCTATACAACCTGCCAAAGCACATTTTCATTTCTAAATATTTAATATTCAGTTTTGTCATGAGTAACAGAAAGCTCATCTTCCTAATCCCTCTCTCGTCTGACTTAAGTTGCTATCTTACTAGTCCTAGGATTGAAGGAAGCAGATGTTGAATCATTGTTACTCAATTAAAACAGTAATTTTCCTATAAGATTTACTTGAGTTGTATTTAGTCACTTAAGATGTTATACACATTGTCCTACTGCAAGCTAAACAAAACAATTATATTTTTCTGTAACTGTCAAATTGTTTCCAAAAATATAGAAAACGGGTTTACTGTTTGTTAAGCATTTGATTGCGACAAATCTAGCAAAAAGCATAATGTATCAACATAAAGGATTAAGTCCAGCCAAGGAAAAAAGTAAAGTTACTTGTTCAAAGACAGACTGGAGCTTAAATTTGATAATCAAAGAAAATTATTATATATATTTTTTTGTACAATAGTTACCCAAGTGCACTCTGTAAAATGCTTTTTGGGTCATAACAACTTTGAGGAAACCCGGAGAAGAAATTTAGCCAACCAGATATTTCTTTTAAGCACTCCTATTGCCATTCAGCACCCTCTACAAAAACTGGACATAATGTTAGTTTTCGTTTTAATCTTTGGGTCACATGCACTAGTCAGTCAATGCATCCAGGGTTTTAAGTACAGGTGAGCAGCTTGTTTGATATGCAGTAAATAAGTTACACTTCACTTGTCCAGAGCAGGTTTTGATTGGCCTGAGCTTCTGGACAGTAGGATTTTCTAGAATGATCAGTTTTTTAAAACTTAAATTAAGAACACATTTGATTTACACAGCAAATATAAATTTTCAGTTGTGCAAGATTACATGTTATTATAATTCTTATTTATGTCTGATTCATATTACCTGATATATTAATAAATAATGCCTTAGCTTAACTTGATTTGGACCTAGTTATATAAGAAACTAAGCACCTTCTAGTTCTCAGATAACTAAAATAGTAATATAGGGGGCAATGCCTAAGCATATAAAGATGTTTTAAAAAATTAGATATATTTTAAAAAGAGTTTCACTCCGTAACAAAGCATTTAAGTTTAAATTCAAAACAGATATTGGAAACAAGCAAAAACAAACTGCTAACTTTTAGCAAAATCTTCTTTTGACACACAAAATGTTACTTTCTTCAAAAGATAATGGAGTATACTTACGTCTTTCTAGTATTTCTGTAATCCCAGCATTATCTGCCTCAAGTTCCATTTTAAATTTAGCTAATTCTTGGTCCAACTTTCTCAAGTGCCGGTCTACCTGTTTTAAAGCAGATCAATGATGACCTCCAAAACTTGAAACTATTTAACTGTGATAAAACTCTACAACCCTTCAGAGGATTTAAGAGTTTTGAATATTTAATGAGATGCATTAGAAGAATGAAGTTTGACAGACTTCAGTGATGCAGGGACTTACAAGAGGAAACTGCATAATACAATGCCTTCAAAAAAAACATTAAACTTAAAAACTGTCTTCCATCTGTAATCATACAACAGAACTAACAATGTATGTCACTATATTAGCAGATCAAAGCTATTTTAGCAATTATCAACTCACCAAGATAGTTTAAGATCATAAACCCATTAACAAACAGCAAAGACAAAGGCAGACAAGAAATCATTAAGTGCCTTTGTAACATATTGTACAGGTTTTCAGTTTATTTTGTACCCCCATGGAATATATAATAAGATTATTTAAGACTCTGCCAGCCCACACATTAAAAAGCCACTTATCTGATGTTTCCTCATCTTCCCCATATTATTCTGTTAATACAGTTAGGATCTTAAATTATTTTGTATTTAAAGAGTATAAGTTCAACATTACAGCAATAATTAAAGGTTTGACTTGTGCACACATGCAATGAAAATTCATTTATGCATTTCAAAAAAAAAGAAAAAAAGAGAGCGCGCACGCAACACAGTCCATCATTCACCGACACCACTATACTTTTTGCATAAAACAGAACAAAACATTTTAAACGAAGTGGAAACATGGATGTTTAAGTTTTAACTGTGACTTTCACTTTTTAAAACAAGTTTAGTTTATCTTTCATACATTACTATGGTAACAACTTTTTGTTAATATTTCTGTAATGTAATGGTTCCCCATATAACAAAGTTTAGAATTTCTTAAGACAATTGTGTTATTCACTTTAATCCTTTTGTTTACTTACCAAGTCATAAATCTGATTTGCCAATTGTACCTTCTCATCTGCATCTTCCAAAGCTTTATAGTAATCCTGTTAAGAGATTTTTGGTAACATGATCAAAATAACTTGAGTGGTTCTTTTATGAATAATTACTGAATTCCTCATTTTGATTTATATATTTCATAGTGAATTACAAATCCGATATAATTTACTGCTTAGCCTTTAAAAAATATTCTATAAAGACAAATCTCTCAATGATTAATTCACCTACATTTTTAAGTGATACCTACTTGACATTTTTTATCTTTTCTAGAGCAAAAACAGAACCAGAGTATGAAAAGTGCTGATGTATTCTCCCTGCTATATTTATGGTCTCATTACACAAGTTAGTTTGCTGTAAGAAAGGAAACTGGGCCTACTTGTTCCACTCTATATTAACACATACATAAACTGATAGAATGAGCTAATAACCAGCATGTTAAATTGTGTGCCACTTCAAAAGGAGCTTTAAAAAAAAAAAGAATACTTATCACTCATTGTAGATTGCTGATTGGCCCTCTAAAATAAATATGCTCCACTCCCTAGTCATTCAAAAAGCAAACTAAATATAGCTTTGAAGGGAGTTAAGTTCAGCACTGAAGCCCGTTCTACACTAGTTAGGGTGACGCAAGGCACCTATGTTGACCTAACTCTGTAAGCTACACTAAAATGTTGCTCCCGACGATGTAACTCACCCACTACACCAACTGAGTAACTCTACCTCCCGGAAAGGCACGGCGCTTAGGTCCATGTAGTTAGTCCAACGCAGTGTCGGCACTGCATTACTTACATCGACTTTAGTGGCCTCCAGGAAGTGTCCCACAATGCCCCACCCATGACCAATATGGTCACTGTTTAGAATTTTGCTGCCCAGAAGCCAGTACAGAGGTACATGACCCTCCCCTTTTAAAGCGCTACAAATTTTTTAAATCCCATTTCCTGTTTACTCCATGTGGAGAGCTCATCTAGCAATTGCCCAGCTGAACATGCTGGCTACACACTGCAAACACACTCCTGTCTGGAGTTCACAGGAGATGGTAGATCTCCAGAGGCTGTGAGAAGAGGCTGTGCAGGCACAGCTCCGATCCAGCCACAGAAATGCCGTATATCTATGATCAGATTGCTCGGGGCACGGAGGAGAAGGGATACAAGAGGGGCCTGCAGCAGTGCCGCATGAAAGCCAAGGAGCTGCGGCAGGTGTACCAGAAGGCAAGGGGGGCTAAGTCGCTCTGGTGTGGAGCCAAAGACATGCCACTTTTACAAAGAGCTGCTTGCCATCTTTGGTGGAGACTGATATCATTCACAGATAACAGCAATAGGTGCATGTGCAATGTTATATTACTATAGACTCATTACAAGGTTGCCATAAACATACAGCTAAGGATAGCCTAGAATTCCTCCTTACCTGTAAGGGGTTAAGAAGCTCAAATAGCCTGGTTGGCACCTGACCAACAGGACCAATGGGGAAAGAATATATTTTCGAATCTTGGGAGGGGGGGGAAGGTTTAGTTTGTGCTCTTTGTTTTGTGTGGGGGTTCTCTCTTGGGACTGAGAGTGGCCAGCAGAAATCTATCTTCTCCAACCCATCCCAATCCAAGTCTCCAATATTGCAACCAGTACAGATAAGCCAGGCAAGATGGATTAGTTTCTCTCTTATTTTTCTTGTGAATTTTCCCTGTGCTAAGAGGGAGGTTGATTCCTGTTTTCTATAACTTTAAGGTTTTGCCCAGAGGGAAATAGTCTGTGTTTTGTATCCGAATACCCTGTAAAGTATTTTCCATGCTGATTTTACAGAGATGATTTTTACCTTTTTTTTTTTTTTTTATAAAAACCTTCCTTTAGGAACCTGACTGATTTTTCCATTGTTCCAAGACCCAGGGGTTTGGGTCTTTGATCATTTTGTAACCAAGTGGCTAGGATATTATTCTCAAGCCTCCCCAGGAAGTGGGTGTAAGGGCTTGGGGGAAGTGCTGTGGGAAGAGGAACTCCAAGTGGTCCTTTTCCCTGGTTCTTTGTTAAATCACTTGGTGGTGGCGGCAGCATTACTTAAACCCAAGGTACCAGGGAGAATTTGTGCCTGGCGAGTTTTTAACCTAAGCTGGTAGAAATAAGTTTAGGGGGTCTTTCATGCGGGTCCCCACGTCTGAACCCTAGAGTTCAGAGTGGGGAGGGAACCTGACCGTTCATACCAGAGTGCAAAAAAACCCAAACCAAAACAAAAATAATAAAAAAAAATGAAAAAACAAAAAACCACAAAATAACGCCAGGCAGAGCAACCTACAGCAACACACACTACTGTGGCTCACTATTAAAATGGTCTTTCAAAGCCTCCCTGAGCCATATAGCAGCTCCCTGTTGAGCTCTTCTTATAGCCCTGGTATCTGGCTGTTCAAAACTAACAGACAGCCACTCCACCTCTGCCCTTCACCCCAGCAGAAACTTTTCTCCCTTTGCTTCACAGTAGACAGCTATAATCGAGATTTTTTTTCACTAAGGTCTAATCTCTTGAGTAGACAATACCAGCCAAAAGGCCGAATACACATTCAACAGTGATTCTACATCTGCTAAGCCTCTAGTTGAAGCACTCTCGGCTGCTGTCGAGGTGGCCAGCATACAGCTTCATGAGCCATGGGAGCAAGGGTTAGGCTGGATCTCCCAGGGTCGCTATTGGCATTTAAACATCCCCAGTGGTAATCCTCTGGTCCGGAAAGAAAGACCCTGTTTGCAGCTTTCTGAGCAGGCCTGTGTTCTTAAACATGCGTGCTTCATGTACCTTCTCTGACCAGCCTGTGTCGATGTTGGTAAAACATCCCTGGTGATCCACTAATGCTTGCAGTACAATAGAAAAATAGTTCTTTCTGTTGATGTACTCTGTGGCAAGGTGGTCCAGTGCCAAAATAGGGATATGAATACCATCTATCGCCTAACCACAGTTCAGGAACTTCATTGCTGCAAAACTATCCACTATGTCCTGCAAATTGCCCAGAGTCAGAACGATGCGATTAACACACACTTAACAATAGCATCACAGCAACCCCCATGTGGATTTCCCGACTCCGAACTGATTCCTGACTGACGGGTAGCAATTGGACGTTGCCAACTTTCACACAGCTATCACCCCTCCCTTCTCCACTATCAGTGCAGCTCTCATTCTGGCATTGCTGCGCCAGAGGCTGGGGCAAGCTCCGCACACACTTCCAGGAATGTAGTCTTGCACAGCCAAAAGTTCTTCAGCCACTGCTCATTGTCCCATGCCTACATAACGATGCGATCCCACCAGTTAGAGCTTGTTTCTTGGGCCCAAAACTGGTGCTCCACTGTCTGCAGTTCCTCCATGAGTGCTAACAACAACCTTGAATTGTGTCTTTCTATGTCCCACAACAAGCTAGCCTCCAAGTAATCGTCATGTTTCCCACAGCTCCACTGGCAGATCTGCAAATACTGCAGGATCAGGCTTGTGCTCACAATGCTCACCACAATAGTGCAGAGCTGTGCAGATCCGTGCTTCTTACAGAGATGACAGACAGGCGGGTTTGAGGGGCTTTTGAAAGCGGCACAAAATATTATGGGATGCAAATAAAATTATGGAATGGAGAGACATGCATCATGGAACGTTGAAACCATGTTCCCAGTCACCCCTGCATGATTTGTTTACGCCAAGGAGGCACTACAAACCTTTCCCAAAGCATCCTGCGCTAGATGTTGGCAACTTCCACAGTGGGATAGCTACCCATGTTGCTCTGCTCTCTGCATCGATGCAAACGCTACTAGTGAGGACGTGCACGCCGACACAAGGAACATAGTGTGGACATGCAAAAACGATTTAATTACTGCCTCAGCTGTATGTCGATGTAACTTAGGTCAACTTAATTTTGTACTGTAGACTTGCCATGAGGCCCTGTCTATAGTAGACAACTCCACTGATTTAACTAAATACATCTAAAACTGATCTGGTCAAACTGGTATAAACCCCTAAAAACAGACACTTAAAATTTGTTTAAGCCTTGCTTATCACGTTAGCTGTATGTTTAAATTGATGTGTCTTAACCTGGTACAAATCCCTGTGTAAACTAGACAGATTTAAAAATCTATGTTTGTTAAACTAGTGCAACTTTCTAGCACAAATATTTAGCTGCCCTCCTTTGCAAAAAGGTCCAAGGGAGAATGAAAACTATCCTGCTTAGCTGAACATACTAGGTGAAGTCTTGGCCCCACTGAAGTTAATGGGAAAACTTCCACTAACTTCAATGGAATCAAGTTTTCACCCCATTATAAAGGATTCCATTCATGTTAGTTAAGGAACAAAGAAAATTCAAAAGACCTTTAGCTTCCTGATATCAGATGAATGTAGTCTCGTTACATATTTACAGTTGGGTTTTTTGGTACAATACCTATCTAAACCACTCAAGCTGACATTCTCACTCCACCTGTACAAAAAGCTTAGAACCAAACCACCACTAAGGCCTGGTCCACATCTAAAAATTACACTGACCTAACTACATCACTCTGAGCTGTGAAAAAATGTCATTTGGTGAGGACCAGACACAAGATCCATGGGAGAAAAATCTTATGGACCTCAGGTCATCCAGGGCTGTGAGTGGGTTATGTTTTCATAATCTTGATCCCTGACTGATTACTGATAAATTGAGTTTCATACTGGGGATCCTTGTGCAACCTAATTAGGTCAACTTAACCGTCACTGTGGTGCAGTTAGGTCGACAGAAGAACTCAGGTGGATTACCTATGCGGATGGAAACACCCCTTCTGTGGATATAAGACGCACCACACAGGAAAAAAAAAAGTACCTATGCGGACTGGAAACACCCAAATTGAGCAAGGTACAACAAAATTTTTTTCTGTGGATACAGACTAACACGGCTGTTCCTCTGAAACCTACACTAGTGGCACACCTGGAGCACCGCAGGTCTGCAGTACAGACATGGCCTCAGTGTTCCAACTCCACAAGCTGAAACTCAATTTATCTGTAATCGGTTGGGACTCATCGTGATTTGAACATGAAAGCATAGCCCACCACAGCACCAGATGACCTAAGGTCCAGAAAAAATTCCCCCCAATGGATCCTGGGTCTGGTCCCTTCAGACTACTTTCTGGATAAAGCATCATCCTATATCAATTCAGCTTCATCTAGAGGTTGGCAAAGAATACAACCCATTGGATGGAATACCGACACTTTTCAGAGTAGCAACCGTGTTAGTCTGTATTCGCAAAAAGAAAATGAGGACTTGTGGCACCTTAGAGACTAACCATCTTATTAGAGCATAAGCTTTCGTGAGCTACAGCTCACTTCATCAGATGCATAAAAGTGGAAAAATGCAGTGAGGATATTTTTTATACATACAGACCATGAAAAAAACGGGTGTTTATCACTTCAAAAGGTTTTCTCTCCCCCCACCCCACTCTCCTGCTGGTAATAGCTTATCTAAAGTGATCACTCTCCTTACAATGTGTATGATAATCAAGGTGGACCATTTCCAGCATAAATCCAGGGTTTAACAGGAACCGGGGGAGTTGGGGGGGGGGGAGGGAGGGAGGATAAGGAAAAAACAAGGGGAAATAGGTTACCTTGCATAATGACTTAGCCACTCCCAGTCTCTATTCAAACCTCAGTTAATTGTATCTAATTTGCAAATGAATTCCAATTCAGCAGTCTCTCGCTGGAGTCTGGTTTTGAAGTTTTTCTGTTGTAATATCACAACTTTCATGTCTGTAATCGCGTGACCAGAGAGATTGAAGTGTTCTCCGACTGGTTTATGAATGTTATAATTCTTGATATCTGATTTGTGTCCATTTATTCTTTTACGCAGAGACTGTCCAGTTTGTCCAATGTACATGGCAGAGGGGCATTGACAACTGATGTTATTCAGGGGTGGAGTAAAAGTGATGAAACCACCTTACATAAGAGTTTCTGAAGAATCTAAGGGAAGATGCTTCTAAGGCTCAGCACAATTCCCTCCAAAGAAAGTCACGGCATTTATTCTGTTTTATCCCTTACACGTATGGGAGCGGGGGGCGAGATGATGTTGCTCTTGTTATTACTGATCACCCTATCACTGACCTGACTGACGTCACTTCATATTTCTAGCATTTCAAACGAACACTACACTGTACTGACAAAAAAAAATTGGAGGAAAGCTTCTCAATTAGTGCTAATTTTCCTTTTTTCAGTAAGTGCAATTTGGCAGACTCAAAGCCTAATTCAGGTCACAGTTCTCAACAGTTTACAGTCAAAATTAATATTAACACTACCAATCTCTGAGTTATATATTTTTTTAAAACATGACCCACTCCTGTAGTGTACTTACCTTTTTGATTGACGTCATTTGTTCTTCTCTCCATTCAGGTTTGTTTTTCTTTGCATTCATAAAAAATTCATTTACTCTTTGTTCTAGTTGATCCATTGCATCTGCAGCACACAGAAGATTAAAAGAGTGTTACCATCTCACATATACAAATGCTGTGTATTTTGAACAGGGTGGTGGGTTTTTCCTTAAACCAAGAAGAATTGGCGGCATGTTTTATCAAAACTACTAGAGAAAAAACAAGCAGCTGAGCGAGGGAGAGAATTATTTACCTTGCAATTCTGCTTCTTGGAAGTCATTTGGGTAGGATTCTCACTCCAGGATATTGTGCTCTCCAGCATGAGACAAGCAGGGCTCCAAGTTCTAAAGGTTTTTTTGGTCCCTAAGACCAGTGGCAGCAAGCTGAAGCAAGCCCCAAACTCCTCACCCAGCTTTAAACTGCTGACCTTGGAACTTTCCAGCCAATTACAATTTGAGCAGGAAACAAAGTATCCTCCTAAGAAATAAAGTCAGATAGAAAACCAAATAATTTAAAAATGAGTGCCTCAAAAAGGTAGAGCAATAAACAGAGAAGAGAAAAACCCATCACCTTCATATCAAATTCCCCTCCAACTATGTGAGGAAGTGGGAAACTATGTGAAAGTCCTGCCAGAATGGTATCCTCAATGAAGTAGAATTGCAAAGTAATTCCCCATTCTTGCCAGATACCACCTGAGGAAGGATTCGGACTTATGTGAGATCTACAGCTTGAGAGACATCACAAAAGGAAAAACTAAAGCCACTAATTCCACAGCCGTCAGCATGAACAAGGAAAATGCCTTGTTTGGTTCATTTCTTAAAACAAGGAATGGAAATCTCCCAAAAGCAACAAGCTTAATACTTCAGCCCGAGGTAGTGTTTAAACAAAAAAAAATTTTTTCAAAAGCATGTGATCAGCTGAAATAGGGAACATCCCCCACCAAAAAAAAAAAAAAACAACACAAATCAAGAGGGCAAGAAAAGTTAAGCTTTCCTTATTTTGGAATTAGATTCTGCAAGTCCTAGAGACCGAAAGGCCAAATCCAAGTTACAGTATTTGGTAAAATGTATGGAACAAGGACAATGACTACTTTGCACATGATCTGAGATAGAAACGTTTTCAGGTGCAACAGCTGAGGTCACCCTGCCTCAATAACATGAACCCTGAACACACACTTCCAGTTTCAGGCCAGCCACTTGACACCATTGCAAAATATGATCTCACATCTCCAATTGCTGGTATTGTGCAGAAAATGGAGTAAAATAAAATATGAAGTGGAACCGGCTTTCTAAGGGATTTAGTCACTCCACGTAAACCCCCGAGAGATCTTTTGGCATCAAGCATATAGAAAAGAGCCTCACCAAGATGGGAACGAGCCCTGGAAACAGTGCTGGAAAGATGAGAGGCTCATCAGTATAGAGCTTTGACAAAACCTCAGAAAGGAGTCTCACATGAGTCTATAGCACAACCTTCTAAAATTTGGGGTCAGGTATTCCAGTCACTAAAGCCTGAAGCTTGCTCACTTTATGGACTGATTACATGAAGGAAAGTCAACTTTCATGTAATTAACCTAGACTCACATGTACACATCAATGGTACATTGATGGTTCAAGAGGAAATTTCATCAGCTTTTTTCAGACCTACTTTAAGGAGGTCCCGAAGAGTGTCAAGCCCTGCAAGAAAACCTGAAAAGCGGCTGCAGAGACAGCCAACTTTTTAAAGGTTGTGGCTCTTCTCCTGGGCAAAGGATTTTACCAGGGCAGAGGCATTTTCCAGATATTGGCCTTTGGCTATATAGGCCTGGTAATCCAAGACCTGAAGGGTTGAAGTTAAAGACTTTAAACACTTCACTTGAACAAATTCCCATGCTGAGTCTCAGGAGACTGGTCACCATTCTGTTGTTCTTTGCTCTGGCCATGACTGTGATGGGCGAAACAGCCAGCCATGTTATACTTTTCCATGACTACCTAGTAATGAGAGGTCAAAGATATGGTGCAAGAGTAATTTTAACTCTAACAGAAGGGGGTTCCTGGCCCAGGTATCTTGTAAATTTCTAAGCCAGCACCAACTCAAGTCAGTTGACTTACACAACTGTTTTAAAAGTTTTGGGAATGTGGGACCCTCACATTGAATCACTGTCTTGCCGCATCCCAACAGTCCTCTGGTTTATCTGTGGTGTCCAACTTGCAGCCATGATCACAAGCAGCTGGACTGGAAGAGATAAAAAGAGTGCCTGGAATTTCCACAATGCTTTCGGAGGCTTTGACACCTACTGCACAAGAATCACTGGGGTAACCAAGGTCTGGGTCAAAGCTTTTTCTGTTGACTCCCAGGACACTGGAGCTGATCTTGATATAAAAAATGCTCTGTGTGAAGAGATTCATCAGCTTCCCTAAGCAGCACCTGATCATGAATGGAAAAGAGATATTTGTGGTCTCAATTTGAAGCTGCCCAAGTCAAAGGGCTGCTGGTTTTCTCTCGGTGCTACCTACTGACATTTTAAGGAGAAGCAACGCCTTACTTAACAAGCCATAATTCAGTACCAATGACATCAAGCCATGAAGCCGAGACAGCACTAAGGCTGAGACACAGGTCAGATCACGTCCCTGGTTTTAGAGGGCTGGTTCAGCATGCTTCAACAGAGACTGTGAAACTGATCAACCAGACTCACCAGGCAACATGAAGTCCCAATGCTCACAGATCAACACTGGCTCAGGCTTTTACTTCAAAAGCCTATGATCTGACCTATTGCTAGACTTACGGAAGTCTTCAGGGTTGTGCCTCAAAGTGGCGTTCCCCATACATGAGTTCACTGGATTACATCTGCAAACAGATCTAACACCTCTACACTGCATGCCCAAACCACTTTACTTGCTCATCCATTACAGACTGTCTCAAGGATGTATTCTGATGCTACCGAGTTGTCTTCCTCCCTGTCTGAGGAATCATCAGACAACATATGGAAAATCAAAGTAAAATTATTTAAAAGTACAATGCTTCACAGCTTAGCGTCTGAAGTCACAAAGGCTTTGTGAAGAACTATGCCAAAGCAGAGACCTAATCATGGGCAGAAATCTCTCTGTGGTATCCTGTCACAGAAGCCCTACAAGCAACAAGAGGTCAAGGGAGTCCAAAAGGTATGGGTCCTGAAAACAAAAAAAAGTAGGGCTGTCAATTAATCGCAGTTAACTCATGCGATTAACTCACAAAAATTAATCGTGATTAATCACAGTTTTAATTGCACTGTTAAGCAATACCAATTGAAATGTATTAAATATTTTGGATATTTTTCTACATTTTCATATATATTGTATTCTGTGTTGTAATTGAAATCAATGTGTATATTATTTTTATTACACATATTTGCACTGTAAAAATGATAAACAAAAGAAATAGTATTTTTCAATTCACCTCACACAAGTACTGTAGTAAAATCTCTTTGCCATGATAGTACAACTTACAAATGTAGATTTTTCCCCCCTTATATAACTGCACTCGAAAACAAAACAATGTAAAACTTCAGAGCCTACAAGTCCACTCAGTCCTACTTCTTGTTCAGCCAATCACTAAGACAAACATTTATGGAAGATAATGCTGCCCTCTTCTTATGTACAATGTCACCTGAAATTGAGAACAGGCATTCTTACAGCACTGTTGTAGCTGGCATCGCAAGATATTTACATGACAGATGTGCTAAAGATTCACATGCCCCTTCACGCTTTGGCCACCATTCCAGAGGACAGACTTCCATGCTGATGACGCTTATTAAAAAATGAGTTAATTAAATTTGTGACTGAACTCCTTGGGGGAGAATTGTATGTCCCCTGCTTTGTTTTACCTGCATTCTGCCATATATTTCATATTATAGCAGTCACGGATGATGACCTAGCACGTGTTGTTCATTTTAAGAATGAACAACTTTCACTGCAGATTTTGACAAAAGGCAAAGAAGGTATCAATGTGAAATTTCTAAAGATAGTTACAGCACTTGACCCAAGGTTTAAGAATCCGAAGTGCCTTCCAAAATCTGAGAGGGACGAGGTGTGGAGCATGCTTTCAGAAGTCTTAGAAGAGCAACACCCCAATGCAGAAACTATAGAACCCAAACCACAAAAAAAGAAAATCAACCTTCTGCTGGTGGCATTTGACTCAGATAATGAAAATGAACATGCGTCAGTCTGCACTGCTTTGGATTGTTATTGAGTAGAACCATCATCAACATGGACGTATGTGCCCTGGAATGGTGGTTGAAGCATGAAGGGACATAAGAATCTTTAGCGCATGTGGCACGCAAATATCTTGCGATGCCGGCTAGAGCAGTGCCATGCGAACACCTATTCTCACTGTCAGGTGACACTGTAAATAAGAAGCGAGCAGCATTATCTCCTACAAATGTACACAAACTTGTCTGATTGACTGGCTGAACAAGAAGTAGTACTGAGTGGACTTGCAGGCTCTAAAATTTTACATTGTTTTATTTTTGAATTCAGTTTTTTTGGTACAAAATTCTACATTTGTAAGTTTAACTTGCATAAAAAGAGTTTGCACTACAGTACTTGCATTAGGTGAATTGAAAAATACTGTTTCTTTTGGTTTTTTTACAGTGCAAATACCTGTAATAAAAATAAATATAAAATGAGCATTGTGCACTTCATATTCTGTGTTGTAAATGAGGTCAATATATTTGAAAAAAATTAATAAATGGTATTCTATTATTAACAGTGCAATTAATCAATCGCTTGACAGCCCTAAAAACAAGTAAATAGAATGACTGAGCCATAAGTGGACAGCAAAAAGGAATACCAAGAGGATACTTAAAGAAGGGTGAACGCCTTACAAAGCACAGGTAGGGTACCAGCAGAAGTGGAAGGGGACTTGCAGGGAGCTCCTTCACCAAGCGGGCCAGGAGGAGAGGTTTCAGAGGCGGCACCCAGCCTCCTACGGGGGGGAGCAGCTGAAGCTCCAGCCCGCTGCCAGGGACTTGAGGGCCAGAAATGCAGTTTGGGAAGTGCCACCTTGCCTTGCCCTAGGGAGCAGCACAAGACCCAGCAATGAAACTCCTACCCACTGTCATTGCCGTAGGGCCTCGGCAGACCCGAATTCAACCCGGTGTCATTTCAACGCACCCGGCGCTCCCCAGCTCAGGGTCACGAAGCAGCCGGGGACGGAAGGGAAACAGCTCGGCACGTTTCCGCCCAGCACGCTCCGCCCCTCGCTGCGTGAGGAGCCCCGGCTGCTCCCCAGCCCCGCACAGACCCTGCGCCGCGCGGGCTCCCGTCCCGCAGCGCCCGCCGGCCGCGAGAGTCCCCGGGGCCAGGCCCGCGGCGCGCTCCCCGCCCCGGCTCAGCCCCCGCGGTGCCCGCCCGGGGCGCTCCCGGCAGCGGCAGGCGAGGGGAGCGGATGCGAGTCGCGCTGCCACCGGCGGCCCGCAACGCCTGGGGCTGAGCGCGCGGGGCCGCGTCCGCCCCCGCCGGCGGGGTGGGCGGGAGGTGGGCGGGGCTCACGTACTCTGCACCTGCAGATCCATCTCGCGCATCTCAGTGAACCTGTCGCGCAGATCCATGGGTAGCTGCTCGATCACTGCGGGGACACAGAGGGGAGGGGGGAGAGAGGAGTCAATCACCGCCATGGGAGGGGGAGGGGGAGCCCCCGCGCCACCGCCCCCCCCGCTCCGCTCGGCCACCCGGCCGGCCGGGACCCCCGCCCCGCGCACACTCACTCTCCAGATAGTCCTCCAGGTACAGCATGGCGGCGGCGAGGCCAGCGCTAAGGGGCTTCTCGCTAACGGGGGATCGTCCCTTCCAATATGGCGCCGCCGCCAACAACACCAGCAGCTCGACTCGGCGAAAACAACATTGGCGGGGGACGGGGCTCGCTCCGGCCCTGCGCCGATTGGCTGCCTGCGCCTCTGACGTCCGCCGCCCGCCCGCACCACCCTGGGAAACGTAGTTGCCGTGTGAAGGAGTGGGCAGGGACTACATGTCCCACAATGCACCGCCAGCAGCAGCTGCCCCGCCCCTCCTCCCGGCGGAGACGGGCTCGCTCTTGGGTTGAGGGGCGGGGCCAATCAGAAGTTCCACCGCCTTGAAGGAGGCTGGTGGGACCATATGCGCGTGGCGCGCCTCCCTCAAGCCCTGGGGAGCTTTGCAGGGGTTGCCACTGCCCCAGCACCGCGTCCCCCTGCGCTCAGCCCCGGCCCAGGCGCGCTGTCGCGCCCCATCCTTCTGCAGGCACCCCAGCCTGGTGCACTAGGTTGCAATACCAGTCGCAAGTTTTTGGCACCTTGTCTGTCGGTCCTATTGGAGAGCCACGGCCCAAACCTGAACGGGCAGTGGGAGGCCAGCGCTGTGCCTCCTCGCCGCTTCCCATTGCATACATAGTGCATGGCATTATTGGCCACAAGGCAAACGCAGGCTCATGTCACACGTTGTCTTTCCCTCTTAAAAACTTACACGAGCCAGAGGCAGCCACATCATTGCCAACTCTTATGGTCTTTACTGTTTTTTCTTAAAGCCCCAGTTCCTGGAGTCATGTTATTTGGTAAGAATCTCAGCTGTCATTTTTTTTATAATTTAAAAAAGCATAATTCTAGACCTTGTAGTTGCAGGCCAAAAAAAAAAAAAAAAAAGTTGAAAATGTAACCTTGGTGTGTCTCAAAAGGCCCAAAAAACCAGATGGCAAATAAAAAATGTATTTTATTTTAAATGTCATGGTTTTTAAACCAAACTAGTGATATTTTAGAGCATGATTTCATTTCTGAATGCTTAGTGTTGGCAATAAAGCGCTAACCTCCACATGGGTCCACAATATATATGTAACAAATAAATAGACCAAGTGTTTTATGCACATAACTCCTTTTATTATCACATGAATGGACTAATATGAAACTGCACCCGTCAACACTCAGATATAATATAAAATATGACATTGGCCCAACCCTAAGACCACTGAAGTCAGTGAGAATCTTTCCATTGAATTCACTGAGTCCTAAGCATAGGAAACAATGGCCCTATCACAGAGGTAATTACACTTGTCGTTCAATTCCACTATAATCTTTCCTTCATCATTTACTAAAAAAATGTCATTTTGGAATGAAGTTTTCATCTCAGTTCAAAAAAGACCAGATTTTGCTCTTCTATTATTATTACCAGAGAATTTAGGAGCCCTAGTCATTTAACAGGGCCGCATTACACTAGGCACAAACAGAACAAAAAGATGATCTCTGCCCCAAACAACTTACAATGTAAATAGTTCAAGTTTGCCGGGGGGTAGGGGAGTTGCAAGTGGGATTGGTTTCTTAGCAGCATGAGAATATGCTCAGGCTTTAGCTGATCGCCATATTTGGGGTCGGGAAGGAATTTTCCTCCAGGGCAGATTGGAAGAGGCCCTGGAGGTTTTTCGCCTTCCTCTGTAGCATGGGGCACGGGTCACTTGCTGGAGGATTCTCTGCTCCTTGAAGTCTTTAAACTACGATTTGAGGACTTCAGTAGCACAGATATAGGTGTGAGGTTTTTTGCAGGAGTGGTGGGTGAAATTCTGTGGCCTGTGTTGTGCAGGACATCAGACTAGATGATCATAATGGTTCCTTCTGACCTAAATATCTATGAATTGCCATACCAGCGCAAGACCAGTGGTCCACCCATACATTATCCTGTTTCTATCCAGTGACTTGTATCAAATGCATCAAAGGAAGGGGTAAGGATCTCTATACTGAAAATTTGACTGGAAACCCTTCAAAGCTGGATTTCAGATACATGAAGATGTACATATACTTTTATCAATTTTAAAATGGTTTTATCAATTTTAAAAAGCTAAAATATAGTTTAACTTTAAAACTTCAAAACGTGTTTCTAGTGTTTATTGGAGAATACTGTCTTTGCTAAGTTTGAACAAAAATGGTACAGAACTAGGCTTGGCAGAATTTTTTTTTTTTATCATTTCAATAGATATTTGTTTATTTTAAGCATTTTTTTATTTTTATTCACAATTCACAGTTACAGGAAATTATGAAGGGGTCCAACAATAAGGGATGTCAAACAATAATTATTTAATGGCAGATGAGATTCAAAACGTTAAAGCTTTGTCACTTAAAATACAAACTGTTAACATCACAGGTCAAAATATACAAAGTAAATATCCTTAAATCATAACCTAATAAGTTCTCAAGCATCATTTTTCTTACATTGCCTATCTCTAAATTTCAATTTTCATCAATGGATACATTTTTCCCTGGGCTTATTTGTGTATGGTAAAACTGATATTTATTGGGGTGGGGGGAGAACATTTACCAAGCCCATACATAAGAAGCTAAGCAATTTTTAAGAGTTCTATATCACCATGGGCCATAGAAGCTTCTCCACCCTGCCCTGACAATGAGCATTAACTCTTTCAGGAAGGACTGCAGATAGACCATCAGTCTCCATACTCATTCTGTCTTTAGCTAGTCTGTGAACAAGTAACAATTAGTGCCAGCTGTGATGGTGGTTTTTGTGGTGTGGATATTTTTCTGAGACCATCAACTAATTTCATATGGGTACATTAACATGTTAGATGGTAATTTGTTCAGTCACTATCAGCCAGAAGACTTAGAGATGAAAAGTACCGTACCCCAATCCTCTGAGCCATCCAGTCTTCCAAGTGCAATTTCTGGTATGTAGGGCTAGGAACAGAATACAGCCTTTGGGGATTGTCATGGGGCAATTTGAAGTTGTGTGTGAGGAAACCATTTCTACCTATTTTTTTTGAGTGTAGGACTAAGATTCCAATCTCTCTTGTACCTCTGGATGCGTGGCTACCTACTCTCACATTGAAGTCAAAGGGCTCCACATGGGTAGAGGACTCTGTCCATTTAAAATCACAGGGGAAATCTGAAATGTTAGGGTCATTTTCTTTTAGATGTTGTTCACACGTGCTTTATAGTTTAGTGAAAGATATTATAAAGTCAAGTTTCATCTTGTTTTGCTCCTTAAAAAGAAGAATTAGAGCCATAGGACTGGAAGGGAGCTTGAGAGGTCATCCAGTCCAGTCTCCTGCACTCATGGCAGGACTAAGTATTATCTAGACCGTCCCTGACAGGTGTTTGTCTAACCTACTTTTAAAAATCTCCAATGATGAGATCCCACAACCTCCGTAGGCAATTTATTAGTGCTTAACCACCCTGACATGTTAGGACATTTTTCCTAATGTCCAACTTAAACCGTCCTTGCTGTAATTTAAGCCCATTGCTTCTTGTCCTATCCTCAGAGGTTAAGAAGAACAATTTGTCTCCCTCCTCCTTGTAACACCTTTAATGTACTTGAAAACTATTATCTCCACTCTCAGTCTTCTCTTTTCCATAATCGACAAACCCAATTTTTTCAATCTTCCCTCATAGGTCATGTTTTTTAGACCTTTAATAATTTTTGTTGCTCTTCTCTGGACTTTCTCCAAATCTTCCCTGAAATGTGGCACCTAGAACTGGACACAATACTCTAGTTGAGGCCTAATCATCATGGAGTAGAGCGGAATAATTACTTCTCGTGTCTTAGCCCACAGGTAAGCCAAAAACATGGAGACATGAGAGAAGGGTCAGGAGCATGGGCTGTTATAGCAGGGATCAGGGAGAGACAAGACAGAACTGGGGGCGGGAGGCGGTGAAGGATCAAATCAGTGTCTTAGATGTCGGCATACTAATGTGAGAAGTATGGGAAATAAGCATGAAGAACGCAAAATGCTAGTAAATAAACACAACTATGACATAGCTGGCATCACAGAATGACTTGGTGAGATAATATGAATGACTGAAATATTGGTATAGAAGGGTACAGTTTGGAAGGACAGGCAGAAAAAAAGGGAGGAGGTGTTGCCTTATATATTAAAAATTTCTACACTTGAACTGAGGTTGAGATGGAAATAGGAGACAGACGATGAAAGTCTCTGGGTAAGGATAAAAGGGGTAAAAACAAGGGTGATGTCATGGTAGGGGTCTACTACAGACCACCTAACCAGGAAGAAGAGGTGGATGAGGCTTTTTTAAAGCAACTAACAAAATCATCCAAAGCACAGGACTTGGTGCTGATGGGGGACTTCCACTAGCCAGACATCTGTTGGGAAAATAACACAGCAGGGAACAGATTATCCACAAGTTCTTGGAACAAAACGAGATCTAACTAGCTCGAGACAAAGGGTAACAAGAAAACGTTCTGCAAATACATCAGAAGCAAGAGGAAGACCAAGGACAGGGTAGGCCTGTTACTCAATGAGGGGGGAAACGCAACAACAAGAAAATGTGGAAATGCCCTAGGTGCTTAATGACCTCTTTGTTTCAGTTTTCACCAAGCAGGTTGGTGGTGATTGGACGTCTAACATAGAGAATGCCAGTGAACATGAGGTAGGATCAGAGACTAAAATAGGGACAGAACTGGTTAAAAATTACTTAGACAAGTTAGATGTCTTCAAGTCACCAGGGTCTGATGAAATGCATCCTGGAATACTGAAGGAGCTATCTGAGGAGATATCTGAGCCATTAGTGAATATCTTTGAAAAGCCATGGAAGACGGGAGAGATTTCAGAAGACTTGAAAAGGGAAAATATACTGCCAA